CTGATTTACTCTCTCTGGGGCTGGGATGGAAGAGCAGAAAGGTGCACACCACCCCATGGATCAGAAAGCAAGGGCCGGGTGCTGAACCATTAGCGAACACAGCTGTTACGTTTAGGTAGTTAAATAACAGCAGGAACAGCACCTTGCAGTGATTATAAAAAGGCAGAGAATATAATGGAGCAGATGGACTTTGGAGGCTCATCTTCTACCTTTAGTGGTGTTGATTTAGAATAAGTTTTTAGGCACCCTGAGCCTCACCATCCTCATGTGGGAGTCATGTCACCTCACCCAAGCCTTCGTTTTCCACGCACTTTGTGCTCCGTGTCCCCCTGTGCACCCCTCTATGTAAACTCCCTGTCCTCACCTCCACCCACCCAAATCCTAGTCCCCCTTCCCATGGGCTTTTCTGAACCCCTATCCTCCGATAGTGCTCTCCTGGGCCGCTTTGGCTGGAACTCTTTCTTTTGTGAACATCTACTGTACTCACACGCATGGACTTTCTCATTACTTGCTGTCATTAATTGAGACCCATGTTGAGTTGCTGTAACAAAGGCCAAAATTATGATGGCTTCAAAAAGACAAAACAATTTTTTTTACATAAGCTTTGGAGTGTAAGCACAGGAAACTCCTATGATGATTTCATAGTGTTAGAAAGAGGTTTCTTCCTATCTTGTTGATCTGTTACCATCTACGATAATTGCTATTGCTCTCACCATTTTCTCTGTATTCCCACAAGCAGGAATAAAAGAAGTGGAAGGAAGGTCCCTTCCCTTGAAGGCTGTGTCCCTGAAGGTGCACTCATTACTTCTGTTTACATCCCTTTAGCCAGAACTTCTTTACTTGACTATGAGGGTGAAGGAATGGATTATGGATGATAGCTAAACATCTCTCTCTATTGCTTGTGTCCCCAGTATAAGCAAGGAGTGATTTACTGCAGTCAGAAAGCATTGTCCCCTGTGCCCACCTAGCATGTGCCTTTTCGCTCCTGGGCTGTCATAACCTTGAGGACAGGAGCTCTGCTCCGTGCATTCATGTCTCTGTCACTTGCCTCCTGCTCAGTGCTGGGAAGAGCACTTTACTCCTGGCAGTGGGTCCTTCCTGCTGGTTTTCAGTGAGACTGTTCTTATGTTCCCCTAAGATGCTCAGCTGAATATGCCTTGGTCCTTGCTAATTAAAGTTCACTTGACCTACAAGAGAATCGCTCCAGGGACTTTCCTTCTTTCCATGGTCCTGGCTGATAGAAATTCCTAGGGTCTCTATTACTGGGGCTCAGGAGCCAGATCCCTATTTTCAGAGAGAAAGGATTTCTTCTAGAGGGTTCTGACTGCCAAGGTCAGAGCCTGAGTCTTCCCTGCAGAATGTGTGGGACCATTCGAGGAAGCCAATGGCAGCTACTAATGCTTTGATCACATGACCAGGCGGAAAAGGGTATGGAGCCCCTAGCTAGGCCAGGCACAGTGTGGGCTAGAAATATGCTGGCCAGACATGGGCTCATTGTTTAGAAGGACAACCAACATGAAGGTCAGTACTTTATGATGGGAAATCCAAGTGGCTGCAGAAGCATGTACCTGGGAGCCCAATCCAATCTGGGCTTTAAGACAGGATTCCCATGGGGCATGTCTAGGGCTCTGTGAAGGGCTCCAGACAGAATGACTGACACCAGGAGCCATGACAGGCCAGGTGCCCTTGGGCCCCTTATATTGTCACTTAGAATTCCAATTTCCTGGGCCCATGAGTTTCAGGCTATTAGGTTGAGCTGGTGACAAGAGGAAGCAGGAATCACTGAGGCCTGGATGGGGAGAAGACAGGTTTGATAGAGACCAGTTTTGAGACCTGTCCCTTGGGTATGGTGGTACAAAGCGCACTGAGGTGTGCGGTGGGGCCGCAGGGCATATCTTTGCTTTTCTTACGGGGGAATCTGGACTCTGTCACTAGGATCACATCTTTCTCTTGGGCTGAAGTGGGAGGGGCTGTGCTGGAGGAGTCTAAACAAAGTCAGCGGAAGGCAGATTGCTTCCCACAAAGCTCTCTTGGCTGGGGGAGAGGGGAGGGCTGCTGAGGAGGGCTGCTCAGGGACTGAATGCTCTGCTCTCAAGAGCTGGTCCAAGGGATGGATGAGCCAGTGTCCCTCAAAGTGCAGCAGAAAATGTGGACAGAACAGGAAGGGGGACTGCAGAAGCCAGAGTCTTCAATATGGTTTGCCCTTCATCTTGGGTACTTGAGGTGCAATGATCTCTTCTGCCCCCTACCACCTTCTCTGGCATCTTGCTCCATATGTATCCACTCTTGATTGTTTATAGCATGCTCGCCATCCAGCTGAGCTATACCACTAACCCATGCATCTCCCAGTCTTATGTGTTTTTCACTTAGGGCATAAAGAAAACAAAGCCACTACATAGTTAAAATCTGATTTGTGTGTGGACCTGAACTTCCTGCTGAGCACTCAGTGGAAGTATACAGGGCTGGAGGGCTTTGGATGCAGTTCTGTCTCTAACTCAGTGTGGCTGTCACCTTTCTGGACCTTAAGAGACTTTGGGAGCAGTCATGTATACACAGTTGTCCCTTGGTATCTTGTGTGTGTGTGTGTGTGTGGGAGGTGGTGGTAGTTCCAGATACCATCCTCTTTGGATGCCAAAAACTAGGAATGCTCAAATCTCTTGAATAAAGAGATGTAGTGTTAGCATAGAACCTACAAACATCGTCCTGTATACTTTAAATCATCTCTAGACTACTACATACAGGGCTCACACCTCATTTCATTCTTATGGATTCAGTGTAGATCTCATGGCAAGGCAAATTCAAGAGTGAAATCATACAGTAGTTACAAGGGTATGCTAGTGCAGGGTGTTGTTACATAAATAGAAGTCTATCAGAATATGGATCCTTGTCCAGCAATTCATAACAGCAAGAGAGCACAGGACAAATTCCAGCTGTAGGATACTGCTATTCCTGGGAGAAAGACACTGCTAGCACAAGTCTTTCTTCCAGTCTCTAGCTGGAAACTGCCTAGATTTTCAATTAATACATACTTCGAAGTACATGTATTTAATGTAATATAATACAGCAATAAAAATGAGCAAACTACTAAAGCTACCCACAACAGCATGGATAAATCCCACAGACATCAGGTTGAATAAAAAATGCAAATCACCAAAGGATACCTGCAGGATTATTCCACTTATGTAACATTTTAAAACAGGCAAAATTAAATCACTTTGTTCATATGAGTCAATCCATAAGGAAAAGCCTGGAAATTCTTATCTAAGAAGTCCGAAGAGCCAGTACCCACTCTGGGAAAAGGAGAAGGGGTTTGCATTCTAGGAGAGGTGTGTGGAAGAGGGTTTTGGGGAGCTGCTGGCACCCCGTGTTTCTTGCCTCTAGTGGGAATTCTGTGTTTACAGCTAATTTTTAAACTGTATATACACATTTTCTGTAGTCTTCTGCATCTACAATTTTAAAAGTTAAAGGCATATGAAGTGAACAGGGAAACACTCAAAATTAGAATGAGAGTCTGAGACCCAGCTCCTTGATTTTATAGATGTGGAAACAGGCCCAAAGAAGTTAGGAGGCTGGTTCAAGGTCACACAGCTTGTTCTTAGTCAGCCCGGGACCAGAGTGAGCCGCCCCCCAGCCCATCATCACCATCTCTCCGTGGAGGTCCTCCGTTCTGCAGTTCTGCAGGAAAAGAGGAGAGAGGAACGCAGCACTTAAACCAGAGACTTGAGAAGGGGCCAGCTGGCAAGCTGGTAGAAGGCAGAACTCGTAAAAATGCTGCACATTCTCAAATACATCCCATCTAATCATGACGATAATGGTAATAACGGTTACTACATAAGCACAAGTGCCGAAAATCTCTGGCAGCTCTTTCTCCATGTGACTTGCAGATGGTATCAGAAGAAGCTGGCTGGAGGGGGCTGGGGAGAGGCACAGGGAGCCAGGAAGTCTGCAGATTTATTGACTTATCCACCTGGACTAGGTGAGACCCTGGCCCTGGGACAGTCAGGAAAGGAACCTCTGCTATCTCTCTGAGAGCTTTTTTGTTTTGTTTAGAGGTCAATTACTTCCCATTTGGGGAACTTGTGAACATTAAGAGGTGACTGGAGTGATGGGACTGAATGATGTAGATAAGAGGCTGATTGCTTACAGAGCAGCTCCCTGGTAAAAGCCCTGCTGAGGTTAAGCAGTTGCCAGTAAGAGACACACAAAGAGGGGCAACTTTCGGTGGGGAGGAGAGATTACAAGAGACAGAAGAGTGGCAGCTGGGGGTGGGTGTGATGGGGTGGGAGGATGGCTTTAAAGTGGTCCTGTCAGGCAGAGTGAGCAGACAGGGGAGTTTTCCTGCGCTTGCCTTTTCCTTTAGGAAAGAAGTCTTTGGTGTCTTATGATGCTCAGACTTCTTCGCTAGCAAAAAGAAAATCTACGTGGGCTGCGCATGGACCAGGGCTTTTTGTTATAGCTTTTAACTTTTTAACTTTTTATTTTGGTACCAGGGATTGAACTCGGGTCCTTGCACTTGTGAGGCAGGCGATGGAATCACTGAGCTAAATCCCAGGCCCCTAGTTTTTATCTTTTAAATGGTATCCACATATGCACGCTACAGCAGCAGCGTGGAGAGCATAACAAAAGATGTGGGTCCTATTGTGGTCCACGGCGGCTGGGTCTTCATGGTGTCACGTGAGAGATGCATCTCTCAAGTCTGACTTTGCCTCTGGCACCTTGTCCTTTTGACAGGAAGATGGGGAGGGGGAGGGGAAGAGGAGGAGGGAGGGGGAGGGGGAGAGAGGTGCTTGCCCAAAGACTATCTCAGGGATCTAGGGTATACAAGTAAGCAAACCCCATGCCCCATTCAGTCACTAAATGCAATTTAAGAATTACCAAACCACTCTAAGATTCAACTCTGCCTTTGGCACATGCCCCCCTTCACTTGTCTCTATTCCAAAGTCCTAGACCTCTCCGGGAACCTGTCCTAGTAAAAAAAAAAAAAAGGACGCTCCCACACTAACCCACCTCTTCTACGAAGCTTCCCTAAGCAGCCAGCGAGGATTTTCTTTCTCTAGAGTGAGCTTATTGCCAGTCCTACTTGACCTGCAGCATTATATCACCTTGTATTTTTAGGCGCCCTTCTCATGGTCTTTGCAATTCCAGTTAGATAATAAATTCCGTAAGGGCCAGGGAGGCAGCTGAAATTTAGTTTCTCAGTATTCCTGCCAGGAATGCGCACGATGACTGAACCGAGCCTTCCTCCTGTGTCCCCTTCGCTCAGAGTCTTGCACATCACTTTCTTCCGGTGCTTTTCCAGGTGACACACAAAAGTGTGGACCCCAAAGGGACACTCCCCACCCTATGTCTTAAATCCCAGTAAAAACAAAGTCAAAAAATCGAGGAAAAGTACCCCCAAAGTGTCACCAGGGTGTGGAAGTCTTTACTTGCCCTAACTCAGGAGATTTACAAGAATTAACATACATTATTTTGGAATCTGATCTCAGAAAAATTTAATACAATTACATAGATAACAACTGACAGGCAACATTGCATTTAACACTATGACAATTCTCACACGAAGATTTTAATTAACCTCTGTCTCTGCTTAGTTTAATTGAATTTGAAATATATTTACTGCACTTTTTAAATCCTGGGGCACAACTAAAACACAGGTATTCTAAATACACTTTGGTTAGCAGTGGAAATGGGGAAATAAAAGGAAGAAGTGCTGAAAACGAAAAAAGGAGAAATGTAAGGAAATAGTTTTGTTTCTTTTAGCTTAAGCATATAAACTTTAAGGGACAGTCAGGTAGCATTTACACACAATCAAACACCGTTGCTCACTTCAGTAAAAATCGGGGCATACTCAGGAGAGCAGAAGCACGTGCAGTACATTTTAATTAAACACGAAAATTTATTAAATAACAATAAACCTTTGTTAAGTTAAGAAGAATAAAGAACCAGAGATTTCATGGTCTAAAAATGTAATCCAATGCGGGGGGGAGGGGGCTAGATTTTCCTACTAAACTTGACCTTCCAAGGACAATTTCCGAATGGATCCCGTGTTCCCATTAATATACTGAATTTGTTTTCTGTCTTCAGTTTGGATGACCTCAGGATGCTGCAGCGGGGCTGTCAAATTTTCATAATTTCAGGGAGCTGAAAAGTTAGGTTTTCTCTAGGATTTACAGCCTTGTCTGGACCTTCTTTCCACATGCATTATTTAGAGACCGATCAGGTTCCAAAAGAAAACCTACGGAGAGGGAAAGGGGAGCGAGAGAGATGAAGTCAGGTACCGCACCTCCGGGGGCGGGCGGGGGCGGCTGGATCACCTTTGTCTCCCTGGAGCTTCTGCTTCCATTCCAAGTTACCCAGAGCAGACCCAGAAAATGCGTTCTCAGGGCCACGCAGTCTTCTCACTCGAGGCGCTGCTGGGTAGGCAACAGAAAACGCAGGCCATGTGGGGACGAACTGGCGTGGAGACGCTACTTCCGGAGCGCGAGCGTAGCCGGAAGCGCGCTCTTCCTGGGTCACCAACGTCCTGGAGCGCAGCGGCCCGAGGTTCAACCCGCAGCAGGGCGTGGCTCGCAGCCTCAGCTCCCCTCCACCTCTGGAGCTTCCTACTCCCTGCACTTCGTCCCCTTCTCTCACTCCTGTCCCCACCCTACCCCCCAACAAGTTCCTTGGCTGGGAGGATGGAGGCCCTCTAGACCGCTCCCTCTCCACCGCCCAGGGCGCGCGGGCTGCCCACGCAATCAAGAGCCGCTAAGGAACTCCTCAACCCCCCGAAAAGTCACCAGCCTCAGAGCTGGTGGGACACTCGAGACTTCCAGCCACCTTCGATTTTTTGTCCTCGCGGTGCTGCTTCCTGCGCGACTGGCGAAGCCCCCGTTAGGTCTCTGGGGAGGAACATCCTCAGCGCCGGCGGAGGGCGGCTGGTCTGGGGCAGTCCCAGTCCCAGTCCCAGAGAGCGCGACCCGGGAGCGAGGGAGGGGCCGAGCTCCGGCCCCGGTGACGCCGCCGAGCCGAACGGAGGCGCCTCACCAGGCCCGGACGCCCTGCAGCGTGGCGGCCAGATGGCCTGGCGGGGTGGCGCTCCGGCCGCTGTGCCGGAAGCCGGAGCTGGCCAGTGGCGTGGGCGTAGCTGGTCCCGGCCCCGCGTAGCCGCTACTGTATCCTGCTCCGTAGGGGGAGCTCACAAACCCACCGTAGCAAGAATAGGGCGCCGCAGCCGCGGCATAGGGGCTGGGGAAGGCAGGCGCGCCCGGTCCCAAGCAGGGCCTGCCGTCGCGCACCAGCACAGGCACTGCCACCCGGCGTGGCGCCAGCGGGCGGCCGGCTAGTTCCAGCGACTTGTCCTGGCGCTGCCTCTTGCACTTGTAGCGCCTGTTCTGGAACCAGATCTTGACCTGCGTGGACGTGAGCTGCAGCGCGCTGGCCAGGTGCTCGCGCTCCGGGGCCGACAGGTACCGCTGCTGCTTGAAGCGCCGCTCCAGGGCCAGCACCTGCGCCTGCGAGAAGAGCACGCGTGGCTTCCGCCGCGGTCGCGTCTTGGGCTGCTCGGGGCCGACACCGCGCACGCGGTCGTCGCTGTGGCCCACGCTGCGCTCCGGCTCCCCGCTGTTCCCACCGCCGAGGGGCAAGACCGCGCCCAGGTCGGGCTCTAGAAGCACAGGAAAGAGCTACTTAGCACCGGAGCGGTTCTTACCTGGTTTTCGAGAAGACCCCCGCCCGAGCCTCACTGCGCACCCATTCCCCGGGCCCCAAGCCCCTGGCCACGCCCGTTTGGATGTCCTTTCCTCCTGCCAGAGCATAACTGCCACTCTGGCCAGGCCATTTTCTTCTTGTGAGGTGGTCGAGTTTGACGAAAGTTTTGCTTCGAGGATCCAGGGGGAGTGTGTGGGCCTGTCCGACTGGGGCTGGCACCGGGAATGCGTTGTTCTGAATCCAAATTAACAGAACGAAATGAAATATTTTCTGACCTCTGACTCTTGGCTTGGAAACAGCTTCTCTGAGGGACATGGAGATGAAATCCACACTTGGCTTTTTAAAGGAGCAGCCTCTTCCTCCTTTGGGGTCTTTCTGGCAAGCCGCGGCTTGGGTGTCACCTCGAAGTCCTCTTTCCCGGCGCGACTTTGGACGGTGACACTGTGCCCGACGCCCACCGAGAGGCAGCATTTCCTCCCCTGCTTCACCCCTCCCTCCTGTCTTGGTTTAAGCCCTGTTTTACTCGCAGGACAGGTACAGAGGAAACGATGAATTTTCGTGGAAATTCAGGCCAGGGGGAGCAGGCACACGGAGCCGCGAGTTCTAGCGAGGTGCAGGTTCTTTCCTCCGGGCAGACCTCGAACAGTTGGACTCTGGGTTTGGTATTAAAAATTTGAGGACAGGGAAACTTCCTTCAGAGGCACCTGTGCTCAGAGAAACCAAAGAATATCGAAAAAAAGGGGAAATGCTGACGGGGGTGGTTTTCTCAGCAAATGGAAATGTGACTGACCTTCAGCGACGCTGGGGAGCAAGCAAGACACCATTCAGCAGCCACTGACCGCGAGGGCCACGGAGCCGGCCGAACCCCGGGCGCGCTCCGGGCCCGGATCTGGAGTCGCTTCTACATTGCATCCCTGAAGGCAGGATGGCTCGGCTGGGGACGTGTGAGGCGGGGAAGCCCACCAGGACAGTCCCTTTTCCGCTTGTCGTCAGCGCCGCCGGGCCGTCAGCTCGGTTCCCGCGGCTCCAGACGGGTGGCAGTGCGTGGCTCGCGCTGGGACACAGCAGTGACCAGGAAAGTGAGCTTTTCTCGGCCAAGCCCCAGGGAACGCCGAGTTGGCAGAGCAATACCCAGGGAGGTGAGTGTTTAGAGTCCGCTGCACAAAACCCAGGAGCTTTTAGAACACAACAAAGCGTAGGGTCCTCCAGGCTTCTGGAATCAGTGAATAACCAACCTGCTAGTCGACAAATATCTCCGAAAGAGTCTTTTCATTTTATTTAGTTGGCTAGTTAGGATTTAACTAAAGGCGCCCAGTACAGCCTAGCAGGGGAGGTCCCCAGCTGGGCGCTGAGCGAGGTACAGAGGGTTGGGGAGTGGAAGGTGGCCTTTTCCTCCCCGGGAATTCAGGCCTTTGGGGCCCAAGTCTCGTGGGTCACAACCCGAAAAGCAGTACAACTCTCCGCTTTGCCTTCTCCTTTTCCTGCAATCTGCTCGCAGGGGCCAGGGCCTCGAAAGGCGTCAGGTCTCAGCCAGAGAGGTCTCCCGCCAGCTGAAGCCTTTAACGTGTCCCTGATTCGAGGACCCAGCCTCAGCGCCCTTGGGGGCTCTGCATCGAAGGACCCAGACACCCCCTGGTCATCGCCGCAGGATTTCCGAGCCGGGGAATGGGGAGGGGCCGGCCAGGCAGAAATTCCACCGCGTTTGTGACCTCCGGGCTTTTGTTTTGCTTTCGGACGGTTTAGGGTAGGCAGGGCCCGGCGGTGTGGGTGGAGCACAGCTGCGATACTGTAGCGGATTCTACTTGGGAGCGAGGAACCCGAGGGGCTGGCGTGGGAAGAGTGAACCCCGAAGACTCAGGGCTTTGCTTTCATTAGGACTCGTGAAGTACAGTGGGGGTGAGTGTGTGTGTGGGGGGAGGGCAGCTCCGAGCCCTGTCTTTTGGATTCCTCAAATGAGGGGGCGCAATAGGGTGAGGTCCTGGAACTCAGGAGTCTAGGAGACACGACGACCCGCTCCCTCCTTATCCCAAAGGAAAGCCGACGGCGCGTTTACTCACGTGGCCCCCCGACCCGTTCCGCGTCCATCTGTACCACTGCCTCGCAGGGACTCCCAGGAGCCTCGGAGCGCTCCTGCCCTCTGCCGCCCCTACTACAGATGTGGTGAAACACCTCTGGTCCTCGCGGTTCCAGGCCCACTCCCAGGTACCGAGGGTTTTCCGGGCTCCTCCGCAACCCCCATTGTGGTGAGAACTCGGCCTGCTCGCGCTCCAGCCGCAGGATGTCACTGACGGAGAAGGGGGTGGAGGCGACCCGGCTCAGCAGCATCGCGGAGGCAGAGGGGCGGGGCCGAGGAGTCCGCTTCCCCGCGCGGCCCGGGGTCCTGAGCTCCCTCCGGGCGCTGCAGGTCTCGGAGACGGATCCACGCTCTGGGACGCGCAGCCAGCGTCCCCTACGGCGCCTCCTCTGGGCGCTCGCTGCGGGCTGGGGGCCCAGGGCCGGGGACCAGACCGCGGCCCCCCATTGGTTCCTGCAGAAACCACGTGCTGCCCCCGCACCTTCCTCTCCAAGCGCGCTCTTTCCGCCCCCTATAATCCTCCCAAATCCCTAGTCACCTTCCGGGGACATTGGTTGGAACTGATGCTTCTAAAATCAAGGAAGCCTGGCGAGGTGGGGCTGCGCGCGGCTCCCACCGCGGTCCACACGGTTTGGGGAGGGGGCTTCTAAGGTCAACCCGGGTTCCCTGGGGCCCTCCCAGAGGGTGTGCGCGAAGGGGGTGGAGTCCTTTCCGTGCCTCCGGGCCGGTCGGCCGGGCTGGGCTGCGATCCTCCAGGCTTCACTCTTAGGTAGAGGCAGCCGGGGGCGGCGAATTGAGGTGCTTGTGGAGGTCTGAGCGGACCTGGGCCGGAGCGCGGGCGGCCGGGAGCCCCTTCCAGGAGGTCCGTGGGATCCGACCCAGCCCTGGCAGCGAGAACGGGACGCGGGGCTGCACTTGGGGGAGCCGGGTCCTCCGCGAGGACTCCGGAGCGGAGCGAAGATAGCAGCCCCGGGCCTTGAGGAGGTTAGGGAGGGGGGCTCGCCTCGCCTTTCTGGTCGCGGTTTCTTCTTTTCCTCCCTCTTCTCCGCCCTCAGACCGCTTGCCTTGAGCGTGCGTGCGCGTGCTTGCGCGAGGCCTGCGCGGAGAGACGCGGCGCCGCCTAAGGGCTGGAAGGTTTGGTCAGCGTCAGGCTCGCTGTTGGGACGCGGCTGACGTAGAGACACAGTGGGCTGATCTGGTCTCTGCTCGGCCACAGAACTACGGGCTTTGGGGCAAAGTATTAAGCTGTCATGCTTTATTTTCATAAAAACTGGAGATAAATTGGTCCTGGTGGCCGACATCTGCAACACCCTATTTAAAAATAAAAGATTAAAAGAGGGGAGGTGGGGATGTAGCTCAGTATGACGACCCTGAGTTCAGTCCCCAGTACCAAAAAGGAGTAAAATGGAGAGAGTAGTATGTCCATCATCGGATTCCTGGGAGAATTTAGTGGGAGAATGTGTGTGAAATCATCAATGAACGCTCACTGCTGCTGTTACTACCAGGAAACATGATTTGGCGCCAAGGGATTTGGAATCTATGGAGTTTTAAAAAATGAGATTTCACTAGAGTTGCTTTTGGGATTTCAGATCCAGTGTTTCTTAACCCTTTTATGGGGTTTCAATGTTGGGAGAGTTGTCTGGGTGCTGCTGTTCCCCGATATCCACGGAAGCCCAACTCCTCCCTCCTCCCCACGAAAGTCCGCACAGCACTGCGCGAAAAAATGCACGCACATTTTCAACGTGTTTGCTCCTGCTGCTACCAGGCCACGGTTTCGTGCACATGGTGCCTTGTAATCTTCACTTTAAAGCGGTATCCACAGGGCACCCCACATCACCCCATCGGGAGGAGTGGAGGCGACTCCTAAGGTGACCTCTCTTCTTGTCCCCACGGTGTCCCTGACAGCATCTTGCCAAAGAAATACACCTTTTAAAAACTCCCTTCCTTCCTTCCTTTTTTTCTTAATAGCTACCCTTTTCTCTCAAGAGATCTCAAAATCTTGTAACGAGTCATGTATTTATTTCAATTTTATTTTTCTGACTTAAAACCATCATGTGCACCTTGGAAAAAATCTGAAAATAGAAAAAAGCTGGAACGAAAACATTCATCGGGAGATACCATTTTAATGTATTTCTGTCATATTTTTGCATATATGAGCTCACAGGCTGTATGCATTTGTATATATTCAAATTTAATTCGGAAGGATGTCCAGTACTTCATTTTTTCTTCAAGTATGATTTAAAATAGCAACCTAATATTCTGTGTAATGAATGGACCGTAACCAACGGTGTTGATGCTTTCAGATCATTAGTGGCTATTTTTTTCACCACTGTTTACTTTTGTGTCTTCACGCTTGTGCCTGTAATCTTTGTACCATAACCTTTGTCCATATTTTGATTATTTCCTCGGATGTAAAAGAAACATTAATGAATCGAATGTCAGCGCTCACTAAACGCATTGTCCCACAACTTTCTAGAAAACCCTGCCCTCCCCCGGTGCAGAGCGGCGTCCGGTGGACGCAGAAGCGGGGCGATGTGTGCTGGTTGCGGGCAGGCGCTGGGCTCCCGGACTGCAGGGACCCCGGACGAGCTGGGCTTGGGCCCCGCCTTCCAAGGGCTGGGGGCGGGCGGCCTCGGGTTAAAACAAAAAGCCCCAGGAAAACCTGCTGGTTATTACAGGGTGGGATTCTCGCCGCGGACTTTTGCGCTGCTAGAAAGTCGTCGACAGAGAAGGCACCCTGGGAGGTGACACTACCAGCCCCGAGTTCAAATGACAGCCTTAGATTCCCGCTCTTGCTTTCTTGGGGAACAGCTGAGATCCGGGAGGTAGAACGGCTTGCTGGCCCCCCCAGAGCGGCGCAAACACAAGCTCCCGCTCCAGACACGGCTGTCTGGGGTCAGGCTCGCATCTGCGAAGCCGGGTCCCTGGGGAGCGCGCGGTCTGGTCTCCGCGTTTTGTCCTCTGAGTCACCTCCCTCCCGCGGCTCGAGACACGGGGGGGGGGGTGCTGGGGCCCCGCGCCCGCCCTCCTTTCTCTCCTTTCAGCGCTGAGCAGGGCGGGATACAGCCACTGACTCTAATTTCGCCCACTGCGGGCGAATTGGGGCTCCATTAGCGGCTGTCCAGCTGCGCAGTGGCCGCGCGACCCAGCCCCGCTCACCGGACGCCCCCAGCGGGAGGCGAGGCGTCACCTCCGCGGGGCTGGAGCGGGAAAGCCCTGGAATCCCAGTGCTGTGCGGTGCAGTGTGCAGCGCGCGCGCCTGTCCCTTGCTCATGAGTGGAGATGTCGTCACTTGTGTTCCTAATGTGAAGTGGGGACGGCCTCTGCTAAGTTGGGAGTGGGTGTCATGTGCCCTCCACGTCTCCGATATAACTCGCAAACCAATACTTAGGTCCTCTGAGTAATTTGGGCGCCTAGAATGGGCTAGCTGGGCCGGAGCTCTGAAGTCACGAAGGAAAGAAGGGTCCCAGGGCCTTCCTCTGAACTTACACCCTTGCACTAGAGACAGAATTTTAAATGAGTCCCGACAGGGCGATAACTTGAACAATCATATGGAATTGGGCACGATATTTATAGACCCCTTCTCTCCCAGAGGTCGTTTTCTCTTGTTCTTTGTTCAGTCTTATGGGTGTGTGTGTGTGTGTGTGTGTGTGTGTGGTAGCTACACATGCTTTAAAGCACCACGACAGATGACAGTGAGGTCTCCCAGTGAGGTCTGGCACTGGTGGACACCGTGGGCTTCCAGGGAATCTAGATTTTAACGTGCGTGCACATTTCCGCTGGACTAACTAGACCGGACTTAGCTCTGGGTCTCTGCTCACAGCCCTGTCCCCACAGCTTAGACTAAAAACACTGGCACACAGCAAGTTTCCAGGAAATATTTGTTGGATAAAGGTTTTTGGTGTGTTTGGCTGGTGACAAGCCCTTGGGTACTCTGGGGAGGGACCCCAGGGGGGTGTGGCCCACCCAGGTCACTTCTTGCTTTGCCATGCATGAGTCCCTTTGCTGAGACATTTTCTAATATTATAACAATAAGTTTGCTTGTGAAACATTAACATGGTTCTAAAGTCAAAAGTGTGCGAAGAGATGTACTTTAAGAAGTGACAGTATACTTATCCCTCCTATTTCTGTTCCCATTCCCCTTTCCTAGTTAGTACACATTCCCAGTTTATCCTTTGTGGGCTTTGTTTTTATGAATGAACAGATGCCTGTATGTTTTCCCATTTTGATTCTTTGTATGGAAAGATAGCTTAACATGGTTACTCTTTCTTGTTGTAAATTTGTGATATTAATTTTTTGTATTTATATCATGCTTCTGGTTACTACCTGTGTGTAATCACTGCTTCATAACACAGAGGATGTCGCAGCAACAAGGGCTGAGGGTGTAGCTTAGTGGCAAAGTGCTTTTGTGTGGCCCTGCAAAAACAAGCAGCACCTGTAACGATAACACCTGTGCCACTTTCTACCTGTCTCTGCTTTGGTCAGATTAGGCTAACGCATGTCCTACAATTAGGATACAAAGAATCTCCTACCACTCGTGACTTTTGGCATACTATAATTTTAAATATTTAATGGTATAAATCATTTTAAACGTCAAGTTTCTTGGAGACCAGTTTACATATTGTTGTCCCCATTTGTAGCACAGAACATAGATGTTACCTATGGCTCAAGATCACACAGATACTGAACATCAGAGGAGAATTAGAAGCCAGTTTTACCATAGCTTTTTACCCTCTGTGGTCTTTGCTTCCACCTTAATTTCCTCTACAGTGGAAAAAGTGATTGGAAAAATATCGGGCCACTTTGGCATGCAGACCTAGACTATTTTATGTATATTTTACAGGATTGGTTCTCAACTCAGTCAGTCATGTAAAGCAGTGATTATCCAGGCAAATAAATGAGGAAACCAAAAGAAAGAAGAGCAAAGAAACATGTTTTGGGAACACATCTGTCTCCTTATTTCCAGCATGGTGCTCTTTCATGGACTAAGATCCATGAAGTTGTTTCACGATCTTTTCTTATGTTTCTACCTGCTTCTTTGTTCAGTACACCTTAGAATCTTTGTTTCTAAGGAAAAAAATCATTGATAAATTCCCGTGAAACTATTACATTGACCAGTTCCAAATTATTCTGTTCAATTCATTAGCTATTTCCTGAGTGCCTTTTTCATATGAGAAGTTTATCATATGATAGGACATGCAAACTGGGACATGTTTAGGACAGGAAACTGGATGAGAGGTCAGGCATAAAGCACAACTGTCCGGGCAAAGGGGAACATGTGGTCACTTTGTAAAACATGCAGGACACAAGAATAAGTAGAATACATTCTAAGACCCTCTGGGAGCAGCTGAGGAGAAGACACGTGGAATGGTGCCAGAACACCTGTTTACCAGATCCACGTTAATTTCACTCAGTAAATAAGAGGTGTTTCCATTTACAGTGACACTTTGATCATCAAAATCTACGATGTGGATCTGATTATTCTGTGTAAGAGCCTGTTTGACCACTTTGTGGATCCTTTATCTGCTGCCACAAGGGTATCCCTCCTTGGTCACACACACAGCTGAAATTCTGTCACTAGCACAGGCCCCTCTCCACACCTGGCTGCTCACAGGACCCATTCATTATTATTCAGTTATTATTTTACAACTTGCTTTCCCCCCCACTTAACAATAGATCCTAGAAATCACAGCATATTGGTTCAAAGGTTTCCTTGTTCTTACCTCTGGTTGCCTTGTTTCCACTGTGTGAACAAACCATAGTGTTTTCAACAAGGCTCCTGTGAACTCACTACAGAGTATCAATTCCTAAGTGCCAACCACGCTTCTATGAGTCTGCACCGTCCCAGTGTTCCAAAATTACAGACCATAATGAGAGTGTATGTAGACACATCTCTTCAGAGTATTCCTAGAAGTGGGATTGTGGGTCAAAAGTAAATGCATGTCATTTTTTAAGGTGTTTTCCTCTCTAGAAGAGTTATGCAGGTTTGCATTCCACCAACATTGTATGGAAGTGCATACCTCCCAGGCAGCCGGGGCAACACG